TCTTTTGTTTTTTGTTTGTCTCGATTCTTGTCTTGAGTCGTTTCAGGTGTTTGTGTTTGTCTTTAGGTTGTTTTTTTTTTTTTTTTTGTTGTTGAGTTTTTTTTTTTTTGTTGTTCCCCCCCCTTTTTTTTTTTTTTTTTTTTTTTTTTTTTTTTTTTTTTTTTGGACCGGGGAGTTTTTAGGGTCGGGGAACCCGATCCCCGTTAGGGGACGGGGGCGGGGGTGGTGATAGCTCCCCCGTCGGGGATCGGGGACGGGGAGGGTGATCCCCGGCCCCCGCCCCGCCCCGTTGCCATTCCTAACAATAATCACTTGTCATTTCTATAATATAGATCAATTCTCATAATTTTTGTAGTTCTAGCTTGTCCAAATCAAGCATACTGAAGTTTTCTCTGTACTTGTCCAAAAAAGTTTTCTTTGGCACCATGATCAATCAGTCTTAATATGTGATTTAAATGCCTTTGATTTGACACCACCATTTCAAAGTTTCCTATTTGAACTATAAATTCCACACATAATCTATGTTCATTCGTCACACAGCCATATTTGAAGTTCCCCAACAAGCTAGCTAACAAAATTAATGACTAATCTATCAAACATCAGCCATTACATTCTGTCCGCAGTTTTGAAATTCGCTTTTGCAACAATATTACTACATGGAAAAAATGCTAAATTTTATTAGAAAAGAAAACATTTTTTAGGCAGTCATTACCATTCAGATTGAATCTGTTTTGTTTATTTTTAAGGCCTGAATGCATTTACAAAATCAATTATGTTGTTTAGGCAGTTATTGTCATCCTGTGATTACTACTCTTATTGCTCCAGGACCACACCATCTTGATGTCAGTGTGGTTGAGTTTGTGCTCCAGGACTGCTGGATTATTAATCTCGATTGAGAATTCCTGTACAAATTATACAGAAATTTCTAAGCTGCACGCTGAAGCCTAAGATTTTGCGGTGTAGTAATCAACAAATTTGTTTATAAACAAATGAGAAGGCTATATCCGTCAAATTATCAATAGAACTAAAGATTTGCTTGAAAGTATATTCCTCCTTCCATATTCTACTGAATTTTATTAATTTTTTTGGACAAGTTCCTTGGATGTTAGCTGGAACAACTTGTACTGTGCTTTTGGGTTGTTTTGCCTGCATGATTTACATAAAGAAATGTGAGAACATTTGGTATCATTATATGTTTGGTATTAGAGCATCAACTATTTAAATAAGCAAGTGAAGGGGTATTCAAGATCTTCACATAGTTTGTAGCATGGTTGCTTAAATGCTGGATCTTCAGTTGTTGCAGGTGGATCCTGACCAAATATCATCTCACAACTCATATCATCAAAATCTACAAACCAAAAATTGCATTAAAGTCATATGAACTATAAGATTCAATTTATTTAAGCTATATTACAGATTGTAGAATGTAATTTAAGTGCTATTTGCAGTGTAACAGCTGATTGTGACATGGGAACGTGGTGTGTAGGTGACTTTTTAGGCTAGGAGTACACAAGGTCTCTGCCTCCCTAAAAATTACTAAACCCCTATTGGCTAATCTTCGTTATGTGAATACGAATATTCTTTTCTCTTATTAAAAAAGTTTGTTTTCATACACTCAACATTATATAAACATGAAGAGGGCATTGGGAAGATGATAGGGTTCATGGGAAACAAAGGAAGTTGATGCCTCTCATTTACCGGCATGGTGGAATACACCACACTTACGAGATTTTACTGCATTTGTTAGAATTCTCACTTGAGTTTTAATGGATCTATTTGCAGTGCTTCACACCCTTAGTGGTTTATGCCTGGGACCCTCCACTAATTAAGATGATGGGCAAGCTAGGCCTCCAATCTTTAGTGCAGGTACTGTTATTCTTACCAGTATGATTCTTTTTCCTTACTTTTCTTTATTACATTTGGACACAGTATAATTACTTTGAGAGGAAAAGTATGAAGAATTGTACATTGTGGACCTTTTTCAGAATTACAAAACATGCAACTTTTAAAATATTTGTCTTGATTTCCACAATCAAAGTATTATGTTCATTTTGTTGAATTGAAATGCAATCTATTAAGAACATCTGAGCAATGTCATGTTGTTCTGTTTTTGTTTTAGAACTTTAGGCCATGAAATGGATGAATTAGTTGTACATGATTCGGTGAATGAGAATATGGATAGGTTGCATGATTTTGTTTTGTTCCTATTGTGGAAAAGTAACACTACAAACGCATTAATTTTTAACACAAAAGTGGGCATAATGTTTGCATTCAACATGGTACATTACTGTGCACTTTCCTGATATCTATGCCCCCAGCCGCTGTTAGTGATCATGAAATACTTACTAGGGACCATGTTGACCGGCATACCCAAGGAGTCCTTGATGAACGTTTGAGAGGGCATCTTGCATAGGTTGATGCACATTCCAACACAATTGGTCTCCTCTAGAAACCTACAAAATTTGCGGGAACAATATAAAAGGGTGACGACAAAGGCAATGCTAGTGATGATTTTAATATTGAGAGACGACAACGATCGATGACCATGATGATGCTGCCGGGAAATAAGAGTCCCGGACAAGCACAATCATTGGAGCATTTTGTTCTTGCAACTTGTTCACTTGTATTTTTTTATTTTAATTTAGCTTGGAGTTAGGTTAGGCTGGTAGGTTCCCATTGAGCAGTATATATTATGTCTCATTAAATTTGGAAGGGAATGAAAAAGGTACCTGCACTTTTTGATGTGGACTACATTCCTTTCTCTTCGACCGTTGAGCTCCGACACTCTCACCTAGGCCCCAAAAAAATAAAAAATTCTATAAATAAATAAATCACACCCACTAGATTTTGATGGTTGACTTCATTGAAACTTGTTGAGCATTTGGGTGAAAATGGTGTGTGTGTGATGATGATAATTTCTTGATTAGTATTACAGAGCTACTATAAACCCAATATAAGATTTGTCACTAGAATGATATAGCAAGGACATTTATGTAATTAAATGTCACTTTAATGAGTACTCTATTTTAAAATAATCAGTCCTCATGCATCTATATTAAAATTTCTTCTTGCATTATATATGTTCAATTTATGACGGCTATCATGCGAAGCTATGGTAGTTTTATGCTAAAAATTCTTCTAAAAAATGGAATTGATAAAGTCTATGATGCATAAGACTGGTTTCAATTAAAAAATAAAAATAAAATCTACAAAACTGAGTAAATATGTTGTTAGGCTTACCTCGTTGGCTCCAACTAACCAAGTGAAAAACACAGTTGTGAAAACTGCGAAATATTCCCTTGCAAATTTAGAATTTGGTAGCAATGTCCTGATCTGCCATGGTCTCCCCCATCATTAGTTGTACAAATTAATTCTGTTACACACGCATACACATGCACAAATGCATATACAATTTAAGAATCTAGAGGGAGAGAGAGAGAGAGATTGGCATAGGCACTTTATGCATTTATTCATTAAGTTTCTCCCATTTAATTGCTTTTTTTCTCATTATAATTACAAGTAATATTTGAGTCGTCGAAAACAAATTGCATTACATGCACATATATACATATATGTGTAGTATATAAGTAATAGGGAGATTATTAGTTTTAAAAAAAAAAATTAAATAAATAAATAAGTTCACTCCGTTTATTGACATTCAGTTGTGAGAGGAGTTGTGGGTCTCACTCTTTTTAAACTAGAAATAAAAACAAAATTTTCCGTCAAGATGACGTAGTAATAACAACTTTTGTTTTTATTCTTGCATTTTTTTCTTGTTTGATTCTGAATAATCTTCTTCAATGTCTTTTTGTTTGGCTGAGAGAACAAATAAAAGAGTTCTTTGGTTTTGTGAATTTGATGTGAGATCACTTTGGCATGATTCTTTTGCTTTTTCATTTTTTTTAAAAAAAGGGATATAGTTTAATTTTTCCCGTACAAAATTTCGTAGATACCTTCTTTTCGTTCTTTTTCTTTTAAAAAAAAAAAAAGTTGTATGACATTTATTTTACAACACGAGTAAGGAAAGACAACAATCCAGTTTGTGAACCATGAATTTTGTAGTTAAAACAAAATTTAAAACCAATTTTTGACCGTGTCATTCTATACAAAATTGTTGTTTCTTTCTCCATATACTTATGATTAAAATATCATCATAGCAAGTAATTCATTCTCTGAATTCAACTAGGTATACAAAGAATGGGATTACAAAATTTATACATTTTATTTTTTTCACATGTATGTGAATCTTATTGTCTGTGTATTTATTTAGAATTTTTCTCTTTCACTTAATTTTTTTTATTAATTATTAATTGTATTTGATTTTCATTATAAATTTATTGATTTCAATGTAATAATACCATACATTAATAATAAATAAATAAATCATATGAATATAATATATAATTATAATTATACTTATAATAATGAAAAAGATTCATTTTAACATTGGGTGTAATGGTTTTACCATTTATGAACATTTTAATGTAATATTGATTGCAACTACAAATGATGAGATGAAATGATAAAAATTGATACAAAAATGCTAGAGGTCCTAAAAATTCTACCAAAAATTTTACCAAATGTCTCACATGGGTGTGGGACCTAAGCCGATGTTATTCCTTGATCCACTTGTTGAAATTTGTAGCAATTTACAAGTAGGTTAGAACGAAATCATTGTTTAAATACTTATTGAAAACTTGAAAAAATGGCAGAAGTATACATTGAGTAGTATATGTTCTGTGCTTGTCAAAAATTATACAAGGTTTGCAGGTCAGCATCTTGCCGAAGTAAAAGCTTTGTAGTTATACCCGAGGTATGTAACCCCGAGAAGATTGCACAAAGAAAGCAAAATAAGAAAGCATGCAAAAATTTCTAAGTATAAAACTATGCAGAAGCAAACAACAGAACATCATAAGATCGAAAATATCCATTGCAAGAACAGTACAATCACATAGTGAAGAAAGAACATCGGCCACAAGAAGGAATATACATTGTCCAAGAATTAAGAGAAAAAACAAAGTCCAGAATCCAGAAAAGAAAAAAAAAAACGAGAGGGAAATCAAGACTCTTGAACATCAGCAGCAGCAAGAACTGGGACCTCGGGTGATTCAGGTGGAATCTCCTCGACCACCTTCTCCGCTTGTATTTCGGCATCTATCTCTGCCAAAGTTGTGTCAAGACTTCTGTCAGTCAGAAGGAGGTCAGATGATGGACACCCTTGAACAAATTCCTTGGACACTTCCTCAGGCTCATCACCCACTTCGTCTTGAGTTAAGTCTAAAATTTGCTCAGCTGGAAGAGAGGACTTGGCCTTAGCAGCGTCCTTGGGTTTTCTCACCAAGGCTTCACCCTCATCTTTTTCTTCGTCTTCATCCTCAGCCTCTACCTCGGCCTCTGATTCATCTTCAGTCTGACTTGGAGGAGGAAATGGTAAAGGAATAGCATCGGCTTGGCGCAATGGCGAGTCAGCAGGGAGATCAAGCTTCTTTATCAGGGACATCCAACCAAGGGAAAATCCCCTGTTGCAGGCCTGCCTGACTTGAAGTTTGTAGTCTTCTGCAACGTCGGCCATGCCTTGAGCATAGGCCTTTTCATCGGCCTCTTTGACTTCGGCCTCCTTGGTGGCCAAAGCTTGTTGAAGTTCTTTTTGCGCTTGGACCTTCTGAGCCTCGGCCTCCCTTTTCTCGGCTTCAGCTACTTTTTTAACGGCCTCAGCAGCTTCGGCCTTTTCAAGAGCTAAGGTTTGGTTCTTCGTTGCAGCCTCGGCTTGATCCTCTAGTTTTTTCATTTTTACTTCAAGGGCCCTTAATTCTCTCTTCATTGAAGTTGCTTCCCTCTTCATATCAACCAATCTTTGACGATTCTCAAAGGATTGCATTGAAAATGAATGGGCATGTTGGATAGCCTGAATAAAAACAGAAGTATCAGAAAATGTTCTCAGAAAGAAACAGAAGGAAAAAACACAAAAACAAATAGAAATACTTACTTGGGCAGAGTGTTGGAGCATCAGAGCGTAATTTTCATACTCACTGAACTTGGCATTTCGCTCCAAGTCATTCGGCATTGATTGCGCCGGTGCGGCTTCGGCATCAGTTGGAAGATCGGCAAGAAGGTCTTGGACGACAGGCCTCGGACGAACCATCTCGGCAGTCTTTACTAACCTTCGTCGGCGTTTACGTTCAGGAACTGGTATCAAGAAGGGGACCGAAGTTGATGGAAGATCGGCTGGGTCAGATGTGGACTCTTGATCTGTCCGAGATGTAGAAGCAGTTAAGGTTGTGGCTGTTGGTGGAGAGAGACTCTTCTTTCTTTTTCGGGGGACGTCGGGTAAAGTGGATTTGTATGTGGGGACAAAGTTTAATAATACTGGGGCTTTTCGTTTAAGGATTGGAAGGCCAAGAAGTGTTCTCAGATCTGGTCCTGGGAAAAAGGATTGACGAAAATTTTTCGGTGGTTGATGAAGATCTGCAAAGAAACAGACGTCAGAAACAAAAAGTATTTAAAAGTCCTAAGTAAAAATAATTAAGTGTTGACTCAGGGCTCTTACTCTTGCCCTCTGTGAGTGTTCGAGGAAGGGGGTAGAGGTGGACATCTTCATCTGGGCCAAATTCCCAATTTCCAGAAGCAATAAGAAAATCATCTCCAGCCCCCTTGTTGGAGTCTGGGAGGTCGGCTATAATTTTGTACTGAGTGGATCTCGGCTTAAGGTAATAGACAAAACCCCTATCCTTCAGATCAAGAGGGCACATGGTATAACAATATTGAAGGTCGGCTAGGGTGATTCTAAGGTTTTCTTGCCTAGCTAAGGCTATAATACCGTTAATCACCCTATAGGAATTGATAGTAAGTTGCATGGGGTTTAGCTTATAGAAATGGAGAACTTGACGAAAAAGGGGATCGAGTGGAAGCCGAAGTCCACATTCGGTAAAAGCAACTATTGGAAAAGGCATTGTATAATCTGTGGGCACGATGGTATCATCATCCCCAGCCAATTTAAGATGAACATCGGCTGGGATAGAAAATTCTTGTCTAAAGTATTCAAGTTTTGTTGGGGTATTTACCCTATGCCTCCACATACCCATTTTTGTTGGCTTAAACTAAGAGGAATCTGTCTTAAAAGATGGGCGTTTTTTAAGCTTCCCTAAAGATTAAGGGTTCTACAGACAAATCCCAAATCTATGAACTATAAAGATAAAGATCGAGGGCACAGATCTGGGGCAGATACAAAAAAGAGAAAACAAAAACGAAGTTTCAGATTCAAGAACAGAGGTATAAATTTCAGAAACAATAGAGGTACAGGAAAAAATCAAGAACAGCGGCAAAGAGAATGATGGAAAAGCATAGAGGTTCAAAATATAGCCACAAAATTCAAGATACAAATAGATCTCAGACCTCGAATAAGATCAGTAATGGCAACAGACTGACAATAGCACATAAAGAGAATGAAAGAAATTAAAGGAAGGGGTCTTACCAGGAGAAGTGAAGCCGAGGCAATACTCGTCGAACCCAGAAACCAGTTGCGACAGCAAAGAAGGCTTTGCAAGAATACGGGACTAAGAACAGTTCTAGAGAAGAAATTGAAGCAATGGCAGATTTGAAGAGGGAGAACGAGCTTTCGGGAAGAGAAAGAGCAAGAAGATGGAAAGAAAAAGTGAAGAAAAGAAGAGGCAAAAAAGAGTTTTGTCAAAAATTTGAAACGGCGGCAAAAATAGGGCAATTATTGCGCCTAGGGTAACGCACGCGTCAGACGGCGCAGACGAACGAACAGGCAGCTTCCAGGCGCGTCACTGACACGCTCCAATAAAGACGAAACACGTGGAAGAAACAGTCTTAATTGCTCTAGCATCCATTTATAATTTAGAAATTCATCAAATGGACGTTAAAACTGTTTTTTTGAATGGAGATTTAGATGAAGAAATTTATATGGAGCAACCTGAAGGTTTTGTGGTAAAAGGACAAGAACATAAAGTTTGCAAGTTGGTTAAATCTTTGTATGGACTTAAGCAAGCTCCTAAACAGTGGCATGAAAAGTTTGATAAGATAATTCTAGAATCTGGCTTTAAGATTAATGAACATGATAGATGTGTATACTGTGGGGACATATTTTCTGATTACCAGCACGTGGCATGGTGACGCCGACGTGTAAGCCGAGGTGCCACGTACCCTGGTAGTTAAGCCGAGGTAATCTCGGATAAGCCGAGGTCATCTCCGAAGATGTCGGAATCCGAAGATAAGGGACAAGAGTCCTGAAGCAAAGAGGGGACTTAATTAAGATAAGGATAAACCTCTTAGGGAGTTTATCTCTATCTCCTAAAGAGTCCAGAGTAAGTACTAAGATTGGGGTACACAGAAGTCATATTTCTAGTTGGACTTGGATTAAGTATATTATAAAAGAGAGGCACCCCCGTGGGTCTAAGGTATGTAATTCATACTTTGAGTATTCAGTTTAATACTTGATTATCCTTGAGAAATGTACTGACTTGATCGTCGGAGTGCCCCCGGGTGGAAGAACCACCGCCGGAGCTTTTCCTTTCTGTTACAGGTTGTTGGAGCCATCTATTCTGCCGGTGCTTTGCTGCTGATCACTAAACGGGCAGTGTGATTAGATTTTTACCCTCACATATACTATAAAGAAGATACTGGAGAATGTATTATTTTGTGTTTATATGTTGATGATATCTTATTATTCGGAACAAATTTAGAGAGAATTAAAAATGTGAAATCTTATTTATCTTCAAAATTTGATATGAAAGATTTAGGAGAAGCTTATATAATTTTGGGTATGAAATTAGAGAAAACAACCAAAGGTATTACATTGAATCAATCTAGAATCCTAGAGAAAATGTTAAAACAGTTTGATTATTATAATCTCAAACCTGTTTCAACTCCTTTTGATCCTAGCATGAATTTGAAGAAAAATAATGGTGTACCTGTATCTCAACTTAGATATTCTCAAATTATTGGATCACTTCTCTATATTGCTAATAAGATTAGACCTGATATTGCCTATGCTGTTGGGAGATTAAGTAGACATACTCATAATCCTAGTAAAGGTCATTGGATTGCTGTGGAAAGAGCTTTTAAATATTTAAGAGGAACTCTAGATTATTCATTTTGCTTTAGTGGTTTTCCTAATGTGGTAGAAGGTTATAGTGATGCTAATTGGATAACAGATAACTTGGATATTAAGTCTACTACTGGGTATATATTTATGTTAGGTGGAGCAACAATATCACGGGGTTCTAAAAAACAAACCGTTATCTCTAGAAGTACAATAGAATCAGAACTTATAGCCTTAGACACTACGTGTATTGAAGCTAAGTGGATTAAAAATTTACTCTTTGATATTTCACTTGTGAAAAATCCTATACTTGCTATTTCTATACATTGTGACAATAGAGCTGTAATAGAACTTGTGAGACAAGCACATACTAATAAAAAGATGAATAGGCATATGCAAGTGAGGTATAAATCTAAAAAAAGTATGGTGAATAAAAATGTTGTATCTTTGAATTTTGTAAAATCTGAAAAGAATATTGCTGATCAGTTAACAAAAGGTTTATCTAAGAGTGTAGTCTTGGATTTATCAAGGGGGATGGGTCTAAGCCCATAAGGAGTCAACTAAGGAAGTAACCCAACTTCTATGATTGGAGATCCCATGAAGGAAGTTCAATGGGTAGGAATAATCCGTATAGTGTGACTCGTATTCCAGCACTTTAAAGGAGACTTTATTAAACTTATTATTTATATTCTCCTGCTCATTCCTAAGATATTAGTGCTGATGTAAATGTGATGGTTAAGGAAGAGTTTTTACTCTAAATGAATCTGAGGCGAGCAAACTCTCGCAAGATAGACATCCGTCACTTCTATCTTTGGAGGATTCACCTAAGTGAAAGCGTCATGAAGTTGCGACTGTGGAAATAGGGCTATTTCCTAAAACTCTCATGACAATCAAGATTGAGCACATGGCTGTTAATAGTGCTAACCTGCGCCACAGTTATGTATCATACCATATGTGTGACATGTTGAATTCTGGTAAAAGGCAAGACCTAGTTCACTAAAATTCTTTCAGATGAAACTGTTAACACTAAGTGAGGTTCAAGTTTGAAAAACACCTACACCCATTGTATGGTTTTAAAGTTGCCCATATTATTTTTATTTATTTATATATTTGACTGTTTTACAAAGTTTTGAATCTTGTAGGGGATTGTTGGAGATTTCCTAAAAGCTTCAAAACTTTAATTATTTTTATTTATTATTATATTTTATTATTTATTTATTTATTTCATTTTATAGTCTTATTTATTTGAATTTTAAATTTGTTTTTGGTTTTAAATCAAAAGGTGTGTCTGTTCCAAACAGATACCAAAAAGCCTATTTAAATAGGACTCTTACTCAGGAAAGAAGAACGTACTCTGTTTTCTCTCTCTCCTTCTTCTCTTTACAGTGTTTTATATTTCATATTTCTGGGCAATTGATACATTCTTGGCAAATTCTTCTGGTGTAACTGTGTATTGTATCAGATCCTGTAAAGTTTTTGGGTTGTATCTTGGAGTCGTTTGTGATCGTTAAAACCTGCACGGAGGGAGCGCATAACGACTTTAGGACAGCGTCTTTGACGTGCCTCTCACAATCACACAGGCTTTTTTCTGAACCCTTTCATCTTTTACTTATTCTGTTATATATATATATATATATAGTTTTGTTGAATTGTAAAACCTAGTTTTTCAGAATCTGTTTTACATTTAATTTTATTCTATAAAATTGATTTAAGATAAATATTATTCAATTCTCACAACATATATCTTTATAATTATATATATGTATAGGTAGTTCAGTCGAGAAAATCATGGTTACTTCCATAAAAATAAAATAAAATTTAAAAAAAGAAAGAAAGATAGAACGTAGTTGTAATGCTGTCGGAGGAAGAAGATGTGGGTGGTCTGCTGGAGCATGCAGCTGCAGCTGCTGCTGTTGCATAAGGGTTAAGGAAAAAAGGAAATAAGAAGAATAGAATGAGAAAAAAGGGTGTCTTA